TAGCTTCCGCCCCTTCACCTAAACCTCGGCTTGTCTTGTTCGAGTATCCCCAAATCCAGTACCCTGACCGCCAAGCAGCAGAATCTGGCTCGGCCCCCATACGAGGGACGAGTTCAAATCCCGAGATGGCTGGGATCTCCACTATCATGGCAACGTTTTCTCTCGCCTCGAATAGTGCCCGTCGCGCTGCTCCGTTTTGTTTGCCTAGCTGCGGTGTGTTCCGTACACTCAGTAGCAACAACGGACATGCTTGATGTGTTTAAGCACGAGACGTGGACGAGGACGGTGAGGAAAGTGTCGCCTACGTCGTTAAACCTCTTGGGTCTCGTATTTTCTCCGAACGCAACCTCCCGAGAGGACTGATGACAGTCAGATGTGAGGTTCCCGGTGTCGTCTGACTCGAAAATGTGTGGGAGATGGGCGTGTTGTCGACGAGTCTGAACGACGGGTTGTCGCATGTTGCATAGTGCTTACCCAGCAAAGTAGACTTTTAGTCTTTTGCTTAGGATACCAGTTGAGCTTGAGTGCGTTGGCGAGCTGGCAAATGGGCATTTCAGACGCTCTTCCTTTAACCTCTGACCGTGTTCACCAAGGTTTTTTGTGATTTCTGACAAAGATTTTCTAGATGTGCGCGACTGAAGGATGGTTTGGAGAAGACTTGGTTGTCGCCCGCCGGACGAGGGCAGCCCGGGTCCGGTAGCATGGACATGGGTCTTCGTCAACGTCCGTCAGTGACCGCCTCTCGGGAGCCAAGCCCGCTTTGCCTCGCCATCAATGTGGCCACCTCCAGTGCTTGGTACGGATACACTCTTGCATCTGCTGCATCATCTGCACCTGCAGAGTGCAGCAGAAGCAGTCAAAAGTGAGGCTTCAGGTCGCCATGACAGCGTTGGCGCAGGAAATGCGCCCGCCAGGTGGAGGACGACGAGTGGATGGATGGCCCTGCCCCGCGAGAATGGACACGGACTTTGACTGCGACACTGGCAGGTTGTGGGAGGGGAGGGCGATTGCTGGCGTTGAAACGCTGTTGCTTTCGACGCTGCCATGGCCATGGCCCATCGCACGTTTTGGCGGATGTCGGTGGTGTCTCGCGAGGTGTCGCCGCGAGCGGCCAATCGGCCGGGCTGGTAACGCAATTCAGGGTTATAATTTCGGCATCGATCGATCCATTACATTCTGGTCCAGATCTGTGGCAGTGGATATCGAATTGATAGCATCGTGGGGTTGTCCTCGGTCCATTCCCTATCTTCAGCCCCCAAGATCTGCTCTGCTCTCTGTAGGTGGAATGTATCCAGTAGGTAGTGTATCCGTACTAGGTAGTGTACGTAAAGTAGGTACTCTTGGCACCGGGTCTCGCGAGATCTCTCACGGCTTTCCAGCCGAAGAGCCGCAGCAAGCGGTCCCGGCGGTCAGTTTCGACCGAGCATCGGGCCCCGTGCTCCTGTTGCAGAGCAGAGCGAGCGTGTCAACGTGTGTTCCCAGGCTTCCCAAGCGATGACTGGCAGCGGCAGAATGCAGTCGCAGTCGCAGTGACTTTGTGTGCGTGTGTGTATGTGCGTGCGTGCGTGCGTTCTGTCTGTCTGTCTGTCGCCTGTCGCGTCGTGTGTGACGGTGTCCTGTCCTGTCCTGTCCTGTCGGCCGCCTGTTGCAGGTTCACGCTTCATAGCGGTCCATCCCGGCAGCTTGGGTCGAGACAGAATAGAGTTTTCATAGAGCATTCGACCCTGCCCTGTCCTTCCGCGCCCTCATGTCGTGGTTTGCTTCGCGCCCCAATAGTTCGCAGGCGTTTGATGATGGAATGGGGCCAGCTTGGGTTAAGTTGAAGCATGAAGCCAGTCGGGTCTGCGGTCTGGATCGTCGTCGCTCGCCCGGTCTACGGATAGGGTAAATACCTAGACAGCAGGCAGAAGAACGGCGCAGAGGTTGTTTGATAAACGGACGAGACGTCGTGGGGAAATCGTCCGTTCCAGGCAGACTTCGGTGTTTGAACGAGACGTGGAATCTGTGTCCGTAAGGTACCTACCGTCCAGCCAAAGTGGAGAAACGGAGGAACCTGACGGATTAGATAAGCACCCAGACCCAAGACGGTCGGGGTTGCTTACGGAATACGGTGAAGTACTGCATACAAGCACAAGTACAAGCACAAGCAAGTACCCTGCCTGCCGGAAGAGCATGCAGGAGTACCTTACCTTACCTACCTACACCCTGCTGATGAGCTGAGGCACCTTCCTGTCCCAGGCTCTCTCTCTCTCTCTCTTTCTCTCCTCCTCACTGTGTGTCTCTGAGAAGGTACATCCTTCATTTACAGGGCGCATAGCAGGCCCAACACGGACACACAACAAGCCCGCTGGAAGTGGAAGCGCAGTGCAGGGCGGGCAGTTGCAGGTGCGGTTGCAACTCCAGGGCATGGCTGGGTCGAAACAGGGCTCTATCCTGCTGCTGCTGCTGCTGCTGCTGCTGGATGAACTCACGCTTTCCCACTCAGTTGGGACCGGCCGGAACACTAAGTGGAATCATCAGCAACCACTGACAGCGAGATGGACTGCTTTGAGTCCCGATATCCCCGAGGAAGCCCCAAATTACTGCTGGGGGGCCCTCCTTCAGTGGCAGGTAACTCCCTCTAGGCTCTCTTTCCCTGCAGAGAATGGTCAATGGATGGTCCTCCGTGATGCCCTGCGGCGGGTAAGTGTTCACTTCATCCATCTTTCCGTACCTACATCCATACATCCATCCACTTACATGATACATACCTCTTTCTCTCCTCCATGACAGGCTCTGCTAGTCATTTCTCCTTTTCCGCTCATCGGATTCCAGTCCGGCAACTGTGCATCCCGCCCCGGTGTCCACCTTCTCTGCAACTCATTGAATCACTAAAGGCTGGTTATCCTGACTCTCCCATCTTCTCTCTCCTCTCTTTCCCTAGGCCCTGTACAGAGCACGCATACAGCCCATCATTTTGCCCCCCTTCAAGGTGATATGCGCGCATATGATAGTCGCTGCAGAAGCGGGCTCCTGACTGATTGACTGACAGACTGAGGCTCCAGTCTCTGTTGATTACGCACTCTTCTTCTTGGCTCGTCGCAATCTCTTCACATACCCAGCACCTCAAGACGTCAACGCAAACCAAACATCTCCACCAGCATCCTTCTTGAAGCCACCTGCGCAACACAGAAACGACGTCTGTCTGTCTGTCTTTCGCGGTTCGCCACGCCTTAGCGCACTTACTTATCCTGCACTTACAGTCGCTTGTCTCATCCAGGGTCTTGACAGCTCCTGACTCGCCCTGCCATGGCCCATGGTCGCAGCCCTAAGGCAAGCCATGTCTGCCAGCTCATCGGCGTCCAGCCCTCTCAGACCGCATCGCATCGCATCGCATTTCGGGCAACAATGGACTTGAGGCCAAGGATGCTTCTTTGCAAGACATCCCGTCGTTGTCCATTGCTTCACTTCACTTCCTACCTCAGTACCAACCTAGGGCTTGCTTTCCTGCGGCCATCCTCCGTACCTTACTGCACAGTACCACGGCCAAGGTATCCATCCGCAAGGTAAGAGGAAGGCATATGATTCTGGCCTTACCTACTGCATAGGTACATAGCTAAACCGGCACTCTCCACTCCAGCTGCAACTCTGCAGTATCCCACCTTCCCCCTCCAACCCCTCCTTTGAGTCTCTCTTGACTCCTCAACTCCCGTCGCCTGCTTGCTTGCTTGAGTGTGCTTGTCGTCTCCTCTCCCCCGCCCGCCTCATATCTCTCCCGGCTTCATTCCTGCTTTTTGCCATCTCCTTCTCCGCCTTCGGGGCAGAAAATCGACGATACGAACAGATGACACAGCCGTGACTGAGAGCCAGACGAACAGGGCTTTCCCTTCTCCTTCATTCACACTCACTAACCGCACACACCCCTTCCTCTGGCTCCCAAAGTACGGATACTTGGACGCAGGCAGGACGAGGTACGTTTGTGCCGTGTGCCACCTCTGGCGCAAAGCAGAGCACACGGCCCCTGGGTCTACCCAATGATGAGGCGGCATCGACGCCTTCGTTCCTCTCTCCCGGGTCCCCACCAACCCACGTCGTCAGGTTTGACCCGGCAGAGCGGGCGAAGGATTCCTCCCCCTCCCCTCCGACGCCGACGCCCTTGCCCTCTCCCGCTGCCCGCACCACTGATGTGCGCAGCCACCCCACTGACGCTGGACGGTCAGCGACTAGCATACCTAGGAGGTATCCGTACTTGCAGTGCCTTCGCCCTGTCTTGCTTGCCGTTTCTTTCCCGTGTACTGCGTAGTAGTGTACTCTGGTACATACTGCGGTACGGTCTGCGCTGGATCTGGATCCAGGGGCAGCAGGCCCATAGGCACCATGATGAGCCAGTGAGCTCAGCCAGCGAACACAGTCCAGGAGCCCTTCTCACGTCTCTGCACCAATACCCTCCCATCACATCGCGGACTTGCCTCCGTGATGATCTGCCTGCGCATAGAAATGTTCTAGGACGAAGGGCCATCTCCACAGTGGAAACAACCCACCATCTGACTTCCTCTTCCAGATCACCAGCAGCAGACACAAAGCCCTCTCGCCATTTTGCTCGTGGAAAGACAGCGGCACTATCAGTTGTGATGCATGTATCCGTCCACATATCCGTACTCTTGCCTGATAACTGGTCTGTCCCATCTATCGAAAAGTGTGATATGGGCAGAAAGATATGCGAGACGCCTCATTAAGCCTCGAGCGCTGGCTGGCTCCCATCCATCTGTAGGTGCTCTCTTGGACCGGGCTGGCGCCATGTATCCGCGCTACCTAGCCCATGGGCAGTCATGTACCTTGACTACCTTACTTGCCTACGGTCTACCTACTGACTGAGGAGGTGCTTCTTAAGTTCTTAGGTTCTCGTCCACGCTAGAGAGGGCCACAGCGACCCGTGCAGGACAGGGACTCGGGGGGCATAAGGCACCATGACCTTGCCATTCATTCATCCATCCACATCCCATCCATCTCCATCTCCATCCATGCCTTTCACATTCTGCTGCCCGTCTCCCTTCCCCTTGCTACAACCCTCTTCACTTATCGTCGCCGCTGCCGCCGTGCTTGTTGTTGTCGTTGTCGTTGTCGTCGTCGTCGTTGATCAACGTCCTCATCATCGTCGTCGCAAAACGAACGTCACTGCCCTGCCTGCCCCGCGGGCTCAGCCAAAGTTCCCTCCCTCAGCGTGCTGCGCCCCAGCTCTGCGTCGCTTGCGCGCGTTGCCGCTTCGGTCCCCTGTCACCAACGACCGTCGGAATCACCACCTTGCGACACCGTCGCCGAGAGATAGAGACAACTCTTTGAGAGCAAAGCGTCTTCTCCCCGCACAGGTCACCCGCCGAACAGGACGGTTTCTCTCACGCTACAACCTGAGCTTCATCCTTTTGTCAGCAACATCTTTTCTAGTATCTTCACCTTCCAGGAGCTGGAGACGAAGACGAAGACGAAGCTCTACTACGTCGGAATCTGGTTCCGCTGCACTTGACAGACAATCGGTCGTCCACAATTACGCCATACTTGACAGACGCCGGCAGCGTTACACAAGCAACCTCACCTCACTCTCTTCTCCTCGATACCAGACAGTCAAACTTGGATCAGACTCGGACGACTTGCCAGTGTGCCTACCTTGCCTACTACCATTCCTCGCCGTGGCCAGGTCCCCGGTGGTCCCCAATTATCCAGCCGGTACGTATCCTCTGCGACGTTCTTCAACTTTGCTCTACACATCCCTTCCCCAACCCTTGTTCTTCTTGATATCCTTAGTCTTTCGTGGTGGTGGTGTGCCTTCACAGCCACCAAGCGGCGGCGGCGACGGCGTCCAGACACCACCATCAGACACAACCACAACCCTTTCATCCTTCATAACATGGGCTAGCCCCCCGTCACGACGCATGCCAGAGATCCCCCAAAGGAAGTTGAATCGAACTCTGATCCGCTTCTTCGAGGCTTCTTTTGGCCGCTCGCGGTCGCGACTCTCTGCCCATCCCGATTAAAGCACTCTGCACTGCCCAGACATCCTCCACCAAATAAACCCTCGCCGTTGTCTCGGGTCCCTCCTTGTCGCCCGCTCCAGTTTATTTTTTTTTTCTCTTCATTCTCCCTCCCGTCTTCTCCAAATCTCCAAGACACACGGCGGACACACTTTGTTCTGCGCCCTCCGTCATTCGTTCTCGCCTCCCCTTCCCACCCCTCCAGATCGACGTTTTCGTCCAACTTTTTCCTTATTCAGCCTGTCTCTTACCCACAAGCGGCTCGCCCGCTTCCCGTGCCGCTTCGGGACTTTTATTTTCTGACGGTTGGGATCAGAAGCGCGATTGCCAATCAGGGACGTCATCGCCGGCATTTTGGTCTTGGTGGAGGGGTCCCTGATTTGATTTTTTCGCTCTCTCTACCCCCCTCGACGCCCCCTCCGAACGTTGGGGAGCCAAGACTTGAAATCGCCTCGCATTGCCCTTGCGCATCACAACACCCTTTGCGCCCAACTTTGAATATCGCCGACATACTTGCTCATCCCCGACTCCGAAGCTCGACTCCCCCCGGCTTTGAATCCCCATCTGGTAATACACTCACATGTGTTCGCCGGTCACGCCTCAACTTTGCCTGTAACTATTAGCTCACGATGAACTCGCCTCCGAACTCATTCCACCAAGTATCACCTGAACATCTTACAACGCATCTCACCTCAGTCTTTAGCGACCCCTTAGATCACCAAAATCCCGGAAAGAGGCGCAAAGTCGACGGTCCTCCTTCGCCGGAAGACTATGCCCCTGCAGCCATGTCACCACCCAGCTCAACCGATACTGCCATCACCGTCGGATCTCACAATGACGAGGGGCGCGAAACCGAGAGCTTGTCCGAGAGCGTGCTAGAACACATGTATGAACATAGACTGCGATACCATGCATACCGCGCTGGAAAATACGCCTTTCCCAACGATTTGGTCGAACAGGACCGCGACTTCATGAAGCATCTCATCAGCAACCTTCTTTGTGACAGATGGTATCTGTCACCTGTGGACGACGTATTAGCAAGAGGTGGCGAAGTGCTTGACCTTGGTATGTCTGCGATATCAAATAAGTGAGGAGGTGTCGGGGTTGGACGTGCTACCGCTGCTGGCATTTGCTGAACTTCCTCGCTTGGGACGTACCATGAGATTTGCCATGGCTAGTTCCAAACGGCGGGAAGCATCGTTGTGATGCCGGCAGTGGATCAGCACCGTCGCAATCAGCCTCGATTTGGGGTTGTTGACTGACCGTATGGATTGCAGGTACCGGTCCTGGTCATTGGGTTCTTGAAGGTGAGCATTGTTCGGCTCTTCTGCGCAGGCCTTGTTCATCACGCACGCAGCTGCTGCTGGATATGTGATGCGCCATCATGTTGAAGCATACTGACAAAGCTTGGCACAGTCGCGGAGTGGTTTCCTGACTCAACGTTCCTCGGTATCGACCTGTCACCTATTCAGCCCTCGGAGGTGCCTCCCAACGTTCATTTCATGGTGGATGACTTTGAGCACGAGAACGGATGGGCACTGGACGAAGAGTTTTACGACTTTATTCACCTCCGTCACACACTTCACTCAGTGCGAGATCGCATGGAGCTCATGAATCGAGCCTACCGGTGAGTCATGGCAAATCAATATGACTGTACAACATGCTGAATGCCATTCAGACACCTCAAGCCCGGTGGCTGGTTCGAGATTCAAGAACTCGAGTTCTCCCCCCTCTGCGACGACGGCACAACACCCGAGGGTGATGGCTACGGCTTCCGTGTTTTCACTAATTACTTGGAGGCGGGAATGAGAGCATTGGGATCGGAAATGCACGGTATCCGATACGCCGCCGACGAAATGCGATTGTCGGGCTTCGAAAGCGTCCACGAGGACAGACGAAAGTGTCCGATCGGCGACTGGGCCGCTAAGCCTGAATTACGTGAGGCTGGCGGTTTAATGCGGAGGACAATCGAGGACGGCCTGAAAGGTCTGGCGACACGGCCTTTCAGAGCTCTACAGTGGACGGAGGTGCAGATCGAAATTTTCCTCATGAACGTGAGGCCACACGTTGCCAACAAGGGATTCCACGCTTACCTCAACCACCGAACTGTATACGGACGAAAGCCGCTGAACGCACCGAGACGAGCCTGAGTCTAACGGACGATGAGGGGATGAAAGATGGTACAAAAGGACGACGTTTTTGGTGATGGGACATGGCGTGCCCGCGAGGGTGACGCAGAGTCGCGTACTGGGGCTTTCTATCATCTTTTTCCCGGGATTGGACGCTTCCTCTCCCATTCTGTACTTGCTTTGCACACGGGTGTATCAGGGGCATTGCATCAGGGGTCCAGCTGGCGGGCTGGCAATATCATCATCACAAAGGGCACTGCATCGGCCAAGGAGGGATGTCTCAGCGGAACGGCGGGCGGCGGGCGGCAGCTTCGGCTTTTGCATTCCTTGGATTCAAATCGCAGCGGGGCGATGGTGGAGTTTTTTGATATTTTCTTTTCCCAGCAGAGGTCATGAGATTATGAGGACTATGGCGGCTTATCACGTCTGCATGGCTCGGTCCGAGCTACTTCAAGTGCTTAACTTTCCAGTACGTCTTGCCGACGCAGAAGTCCTCTCGTACCGGATGGACGATGCCTGGCAGGGCTCGTATGAGGAGGATGGGGTTCATAGGAGAATGCCACACCCAACCTACTCGGTTGATCATGTTCTCCAATGTTGGTCTTCTAATGATCATGACTGTTGCTCTACGCTAGCTCGGTGCGGCTCCTAATATGGACACATGGACCTCGCCCTCGTGATGGCAGCTTCTGACCGCCTATTAGCTAGCGACCACCGTAGCACAACATGTCATCATCGAAAGCTCACGCCTCGGCCCTACCTCCGATTCGTCCCATGTCATCCCACACCCCCTAAACCTCGGTGCCTCGGGATGCAAGCCCCCTTATTCAGACGATTAAGGTTTTCAACCGGACCCGATCGTTCATCGCATGGCTATTTTAGGCCGAACGCATCACCGCGCGCTAGTCCTAACATACAATCGTGCAATCGCCCAAACACAGCAAAAGAGAAGAATGGGGCAAAAGATTTGACCAGCCTGGGGGTCGAACCCAGAATCTCCTGATTGCACGATGAATCGTAGTCAGACGCCTTGCCATTGGGCCAACCGGCCAGGTTGTTTTTCCGCAGAAGCGGAAGTGGTGATGGGGACGAACGGAGGTGGAGTGGGATAACTAGCGCTGGTAGGAAGGGGGACCGGGACCCCCCATCGTGTGAAAATTCTGCGCGGGGATGGGGCTGGTCATTGGTGTCTGGGTTGAAGCCCAACAAGATTTGTGTAACTTTGATGGAAGTATGTTTGCGTTCAGAATCTTGGAGAAGATTAGTGGTAGTTGGACTTATGGGATAGTGGTGTGATTTACTCTTCTAGGCTGTAGTTGCGGGAACCATTAGGGATTTGCGTCGATGATCCGTGAACACACATCATATTACAACAGGTGATTCGTTTCTAAAGCCACCAGATGCAGGTCTCTTTGACAACGTTGAGTTACCGCTGGAGGTTTGTCTTCTCCTCAAGCACTGAACCCTGCGTCTGAGGTCAGGTATGTCGCGACGTTTCGAGGGCACCACTAACTACATGAGACAAGCGAGCAGAAATTCAAAGGGCAGCAGGAGACCTTCGAGTCTCGGGGCATTGTTCCACGCATATCTGGAGTTTGAGAGGTTCAATTACAGAATACCTCCAAATCGCACAAACTCGACCTTGTAGGACGTCGAGGGTTGATTGGTCTGAGTAAATTATGGACGTGGATGTGTCCAGCTGTAGATATAGCGGTGGAGGCTTCAACGAAATTGTGTTTGCTCCAAATCTGAGGGGCGTGACGATGGGCTGCTCCAAGATTCTGCGGGTGGTCTCGGGTTGGGAGTTTCCAAGCGCGTGGGTGGAAGAGTGATGACATTTGCAACACCATGAATGAAAGCTCGTTGGAATATACATGTCCCTGTTATGTAGGTAACATGCTTGTGCTACCTTCGGCGAAGTGCCACAAATAGCAAGGTAATAGGATAGCCAAAAGTCATGCTGCAGGGGAAAGAGGGACGATTCCAAGTCCTCTTTTGAGGTTCTGTAATAGTAATCAAGTCTCAGCTTGTTGACATGAAATCGGGTAGGATGATGAGGAACGCTCAGAACCTCTGCCTATTAGCACATTCCGAGAGCATCGGTCCTCGATCGTTGCGCCTCGTAGTTCTCAGTTATCAAGCATCACTCTTTACGTAGCCTCGCAACGGCAGGTTCGACAGAAATATCAAGGACGGCTAAGAAGACTTGTGTGTGCCCGCCGATGGCACCCGCAGGCTTCGCAAGCCTTACCGTTGCGGCTTGGTGGTAATTATTCATCAAACCCTAGGTGGACTTATATCAATGTAGCAAAGATTGGAGGATGTAAGACGGCATTTCATTTGGTGTATTTGTATTTTTTTGTGTCACGTTTCCTTATTGTCAGAAGACTCATATAAGCCGGGTGCATTTTTGACAGATAGTGTAGGCATTTTGGGTGAACTCGGGAAGAATCTCCTGTGTGTTTACGTTGATAATCATTCACTATCGCTGAAGGCTAGTACTATGATCAAGGCCATACTTACAACGATAGCGTTTGTGAGGCAATGAAATTATGGGTTAGATAAAGCATCGAGAAGATGTACTTATTCCACTGGCATGCTACATGTACAACGGGACAGTTCTGAAATGCAACTTTACCTTATTCAAAACTCAAAGTCAGAGGCTTTTCAGAAATGACTACCCACGACAGACAGTGTAATAGCCATTAATATCTTTCTATTTCCATTCACCTCGGAGAAACCCAGTCGTTTGCGCGTCAGATGCCAAAGAAGAGTTTTCTCCACCGTAGAGATTTCGTTCCCAAGCAGAACCAGTTGGTGTCAGCTCTAGCGTTTCCCACGAACAGCTTTTAGGCCCAGCGATGAGTGCGGCTT